GTATGTAGTTTATCTCACGTGGGACCTTTGCATGTTCTAGTGTTTCATCTGGACTCAGCCAAGTGGCGACACCTGGTGGCGGATCTGTGAGTTACAGCTGTGAACGAATCTGCTGATAATAAAATTAAATAAACTTTAAACGTTTGTTTACGTGAATTCACGCGTCTGATTTTACTACGAATTAATATTTGATTTTACATCCGGTGAAGAGAATCTTTGGAGCATTTCTGGTCTTTCAAAAGAAAAGACAGGTTTTTGTCGAATCTGCCGAGACGAACAGAAATCAGTTTCCTGTGGATGCAGGTCACGTGTTTATTAACCGGAAGTTTATCACTTGTCACACTTCTGCGGAGGTGACCGGTAACTACTCCCGGTCCTTACGTTAACGGAGGTTCCGAGTGACGTCACGGAACCAGCTTAACGTTAAACTACCGCAGAGGTGTGTGTGTTCCCGCGGTCTTACCGGATCGTTCCCGCGGTCTTACCGGTGTTCCCGCGGTCTTACCGGATCCAGCTGCCTCCAGCCCTGAATCTGCTCCATGTTCCGGCTCGTCGGTGTGAATCCTCTGTGAATAACCCGGTGCATGACGGGAACACACCTGAGGACAGGTGAGCATCTTAGGCAGTTAGCTACGTCACAGCTGACACTATTGAATACAGATAATTTGTACAAATTAAAAAGATTTGTTCTGAATGAATCTCAGTAAAATACGAAATCATCATGAAATTAATTTGATTTGAAGTTTTTGTGGAAACAAAAACAAACTTGTTTGACAAAGAATTCCCCAGTTTTTACTGATGTTTCGTGTTTGAGTCTGAATCCACTGAAGAATAATGAAGTGATAATTATTTACATGCCTCACCTGTAGAACCAGACCTGACCAGCTGCAGGGTCAAAGGTCAATCCAAACATTAATGCAGATGATTGAATGATTCAAAATCTAAATTTAATCTGCAACAAACTTTCATCATTTGTTTTAGATGAATTTAATATTTTGAGCAGAAAAAGAAACAAATCCAGATAAAAACTATTTGATTTCATGTCACATTAAAAACTGATGAGTAATAAACTGAAGTTATCGATTTTATATATTAAATGTTACGATGATGATCAGTCTATAATCAGTAGTTTGACTTTTCTTTTCGCTGCATCATTAACTTTTACTGATTCTCTCAGTACATGTTCTCATACTTTCACTTGGGTAATAATACTTGTTGTACTTCGAATTCAATGAAGTATCTGATAACTTCTCTTGTTTGAGCAGGAACTCATTCTAAAGATGTCAGTGCTGCGGTGCATTGTGGGTGGACTGCGTCTTCCTTGGGTCCAGCAGACATTTGTCTCCTCACCATCTCTGACCTCAGCGAGTGTCCTTGTCAGACCACGTCCTCCTCGACTTCCTCTGCAGCGTCTCCTGTCTGCGGGGGGGGGCTCGTCAGTTTCAGCAGCGAAGCTGAAGCTCAGGACTCGTCTGTTGGTGACTCTGCTGTTTGGCGGCGGCGTGCTGACCGCCTGGTGGTACGTGTACGAGGAGAAGCAGCAGAGGTTGCGGCAGCAGCGCATTGAGCAGCTACGACAGGTGGCTGTGGGTCAGGGGAACTTCAGTCTCCTGGACCACAGGGGGCAGCGCAGGACCAAGCAGGACTTCCTGGGCAGCTGGGTGCTGCTGTACTTCGGCTTCACGCACTGTCCTGACATCTGCCCCGAAGAGCTGGAGAAGATGAGCTCCGTGGTGTCGGCTCTGGACCGGGAGGCCTCACTGCCGCCCGTCCAGCCGCTCTTCATCACCGTGGACCCGGACAGGGACGACGTGGCGGCGCTGGAGCGGTACGTCAAAGACTTCCACCCCCGTCTGATCGGACTGACCGGATCATCAGAGGAGGTGAAACACGCGGGGCGGGACTACAGAGTGTACGCCAGCCCTGGACTCAAAGACGAGGATGGAGACTACATCGTGGATCACACCGTCCTGATCTACTTGATCAGTCCTGATGGGCTCTTCCTTGATTATTACAACAGAACCAAGAACGAGGAGCAGATCAGCGAGAGCATCAAGAACCACGTCAGGAACCAGGTCAAGCTCGGAAAAGCTTGATGAGACGCGGCGCTTCACTTCACAGACCCGAGTCTGATTCCTCAAACAACAAAAGATTCAAATCTGAAGTTGTTCAGTTTCTTCGACCAGAAGATTAAAACTCTGAACGTCCTCAGTGAGTTTGAACAGAAGACGTGTTTTTGAGACATGAGGACGGATTCAAGTCGTCTTCATCTCGTCTCATAGAGTTGAGCTGCGACTGTCCATCGACGAAAAGTTCTGCTGTTGATTTATCTGAGTTTGTTTGTTTTTGTCTGAAAATAAAGTGAAAATAAACGGAATCTTTGTGTTTTAAAACTTTTTATCTGAGGATGTAGAAACTGCAGTTTTCTTATAT